GTAGGACTTTATTAAACATACTCAGAGACATTATCTCATCTGAAACGCCCTGTGTCTCACACCCTCCAATCTCATTAACATTTATACTCAGATGAGGATGAGGAAACCATCCATCCTAGTGTATTCGAGCTGGGTGTCAGATATGGCCCTGAGGACTCCAACTCTGGGGAAGGTATGTGGCCCTGGTGATGGGCGTTTCTGTCCCGGAAGGCTATCTGACTTCATTCTGGATTCTGGCAGTGTGTGGAATGAACAGTGTGCTGGAAGAGCTGACCAGGTGAGAAGGGACTTACCTCTGTAGGGTAAATGATAAATACCCCCTCCAAAATGCTGTCAAAGGCTATGTGAAAATTAATCAAAACCAAATTTTTTAATGTGCCTAATACTAGCTTGAACACAATAACTTTTTCTTTAAAACCCAGTTTTTAATTTTTGAAAATATCTCATGAAACATAGCAAACATTTTCTGTTTGGTAGCATGGATTGGTTTGGTAAATATGGAGTTCTTTGGCAAAAAGAGAAGTTTCTAAAGTGTCATCTTAGCATGTGTCAGTTAAGTAGCATTTATGCTGAATTAAAATGGTTATTTAAATAAAACCCCCCAGGAGCAGATATAATCTTACCTGTGACATGTCTAAAAACATCTAGGTTATAATTTGCTGCTTGTACATTTCTGGCAGCATTATAAATATTAGTACTTAGAATGCCATGGTCTAGACTTTTAAAATTTGACACACATTGGGTTTTACTCTTGTGAGTCTTTCATTTGTCATATGTCATAAATATATCCCAAGAAAATGAACCCCAGAGCTGAGGACAGAGTATGAGGTGTTTAACATCAGGCTACAACAACACATGGTCTTTGAGCTTCCAAAAATGTTTTTTGAGTGCATGACTATGTAAATAAGCATGTTAGTGGATAAAAAAAGCCTTCAGTGCTTATTTATCAGTACGAATGATTTTTTCCACTGTTAAGTATATGTGGGTAAATCTTTGCTGAAAACACAGGCACTTTTCAAATAGCCACTCTGAATTGGGTCAATACAGAGGGAGAAAAGTCAATATGGTGTGTTTGGAAGAAGTGCAGTAGCCCACCTACAATAGTAAGAATGTTTGAGGCCTTGCAATGCATGTGCTTTCATGGTGCCTGTTTCTGTAGTGCCTTGCAATGTCTTTCCAGTCCTGACTACTCTCGTTGAACACCTCAGTTTGTCCAGTTTCCTTCTTGCAGGCTCTGTTCTTTGCACCTTCACTGCAACTGTTTTGACAAAAATCTCTCTGCCTCAGGTACTATAACCTTTTCAGTTTTTTAACTCTCTCTCAAGATACTCCTTTTCACTCTTCTTCTGAGATGTTTGGTTCGACTTGTCCAGGTCTTATGTTAAGGTCTTCTCTCCCCCATCTCCAAATATTAGCCATCTGCTTCAAGCCAGGCTCTGTTCTGTGTCCTGTGTGATAAATAGTAAATATGATAGCATCCATGACCACATGGACCTCAGTGTTCCCAAAGCTGACAGTCGTCTATCATCTGGTAGGAAGGATGGACAGCCAGAGGGGAAGCTAAGTGAGCTCTGCTATAGAAGTACAGTGTGACTAGGCCTCTGGTGGCAAGAGGAGGCAGAGCAAGGAGTTAGTGGAATCCAGGCCAGGCCGTGCAAGGCCTGTGGTGATGTAAAATTCTTTGAGGATTTTTTAAGGTTTTTATTTTGACCTTCTCTCAAATGTTTTTATGAACTTTTCTTGTTCATTTCTTTTAACAGCTTTAGTTATAATCTCTGAGAAGATATATTTGAAATCCAATATATTTGTGGTTATAATAACAATTATGCATTTCTACACTAAATGCTAGAAAGTACACCTCAGGAGAACTCGGTTAAAGCAACCTCTCCCAACTTTCCTGTTGGCCCTGTTCTAATCCTCCTGTCTCTACCTCCCAAGGGCTGGGGTTACAGGGTGTATACCACTACTCCCAGCTTGCTTTTCTGTTTCTGTGAATGAAAACATTAATTTCTTAGTCACTCAAATTTAAAATTTATGAATAATCTTACCATGTATCTCATTCTCATTTTTCTTTCTTCCTTCTCATTTTTTCTTCATTCAACAAATAAGAATGGTCTAGCTTAAGCCAAGCACTGTGGCAGGCACATGGATTACGTAGTGAACAAAGCAGATTGAGAGTAATTCCTGGCTACTGAGAGATGGAAGTAGAACCAGGACTATCCGCAAACAATGAAAATGCTGAGCAGTTAGATTATACAGAATGTTCAGAGCCAGCAGAGGAGCTATAGCTCTGCTATAGAAGTACAGTGTGACTAGGCCTCTGGTGGCAAGAGGAGGCAGAGCAAGGAGTTAGTGGAATCCAGGCCAGGCCTCAGCTGCTGAGTGGAGGAGCAGATGGGTAGTGAGGGCATGCTGACTTCAGAAGTCACACTTAAGGATTTAAAGAGGGCCAAGAGCATCTGGTGTCCTGGAGGAGTCTAAATAAAGAGCTTGTGTCAGGACCTTAAAGAGACTCCATGCCTGAGGTATTCAAGGATCAGCAAGGAGTATTTGTGGATGGAGTAGAGCCTCTAAGACAGAGTGAGCAGATAGGGCCTGAGATAAGATGGAGTCATGAAGAGGCAGGGTCAAGATCAACGAAGGAAACTGAAGCAGCTGTGGTTTTTAATCTGAGTGGGAAAAGGAGATGTCTCACCTCCAGTACCTTTCCCTGTGCCACCAGCATACCAAGGCTCCCATTTTTGACACTTACCATAAATCTCTAATAATTCTCTATCCCCAGTGATGGTTAATCTTGGTTGTTGATTTGACTGATTTGATAAATGTCTAAGGGACTGGTGAGGAACACCTCTGGGTATGTCTATAAAGGTGTTTCCATGTGGTATTGGATCCTAAGGGGCTTTAGCTTAATGAATGGCTTAACCCATTCATTAGTGAGAGTGGCATCCTTGAGGTTGGTAGGCAGGGTCATGTGAGACCGATCCTGGGAATGTGGTGGTGAGTGGTTTCTTAAAAACATTTTTTTAATTGAACTTTTGTGATTTTCATACAATATAATTTGGTGGCACTTAAATCCCCCCCTTCTCTCCCACAATTCACACCTCCATCTCTGTATCCTGACTCCTAGCCAATTTAATATACATATATGGCTTATAGAATCTAATTTGTGTTGCCAAATGTCCTTCAGTGTGGGTTCATCCTCTGGAGTCTGGTTAACCTACTGAGTGTTGTTTTAAGTGTAATCGGAAGCAATTGAAATGTAAGCAAGGGAGTGACATTAGCTCAATTGAGTTTTCCACTTCCATCTGCTCATCAAAATCAAAATCTGTCTCTGCTCCCTGGGAATAGAGCCAGATTACATTTCCTGGCCCTTGTCATGATTGGCTGTGAGTCATGTAATTCTATCCTGTCCATAGAAGTAGAGAAATGGTAAATATCACGAATAGGGCTAGCTCCTGACCATCCCCCATGTGGGCTTCCTCATTCTTTTCCTTGCTGACTGGGCATTCTTGAAAAACAGCAGAGCCACTTACAATCTAGATCCCAGGGTGACTTTGTGGAACACACACCCCTTCCAGCTGGCATAGAATTATCCTGATCTTCATATGACCCAGAAATAAAGCACCTGATCTTTTAAGACTTTATGTGATCAAACCATTTGTTAGCACATCCTTGTTTGTGCAGATACATTTTGTCTTGACCTCACAGCCACTGTGGCTGCCTACACTGGACCTGCACAACATGGGGCCAATCAGCAATCAATCATGGATTGAGGAGAGGCTCACAGAGCTCTTCCCCTCCCTGCTGAACTATGGCTACTGATGGATTCTGGGGAAGGGGGCACTCTTTGTCTTCATTTGTGTGCCAACCAAGGAGAAGCCTACCAGACTCCAATGGATAGTTCCAAACCCATGGTTGCACAGATGATCTTGTTTTGACTCAGAGGTTCTCAGGAAAAAAAGAAAAGAAATAAAAAGATATGGATATGGAAAAGGACTTGTAGGGAGGAAGGGGAGTAACTGGTGTGGGAGGGAGATTAGAAGAGGTGGGTGATTACAGTAATCAAAATGCATTTCGTTCATGCCTGAAATATCAAAGTAAAAATTCAATAAAAGTTATTAAACTATAAAACTCGGAAACTTATGACTTGGAGGCAAAGAAAAGACTAGAAAGATGAACATTAAAACTCCTTTGATGATGAACTTCAGCATACTAAAATACATACAAATAGATTAATGTTTCCTAAGATTAGGTCAGTTAAGAATGCTTTCTGCTACCCTAGGCGGAGTTAATGGAAAGATTGGGAGTTTTAGCCATGGGCATGTGTTATTTCTTCAAAGGAATAAATATTAGAAGTGTGGGATTTCCATAGTAGGTTAAAGAGGTAATTTAAGAAGTGATGGGGTGCAGGATGAAGGCACTTCTCTCATACTGTAGTGGCACAGCAGGGAAATGGAATAAGCTGCATAGATACTTAGCATGCTTCACAGCAGCACTCCAAGGGGTCATTATAGAAAATCAAAGATCTCTTTTGAGTTCATGCGTCATAAGATTTTTATGATGAGAAAGTGCAGAGCAGAACATGTATCTTTGTTCTTTGTTTAGACAGGGTATCCCTGTAGAACTGGTCAACTGAACCAGGCTGGTCTCGATCTCACAGAGATCTACATGTTTCTGCCTCTCAAATGCTGGGATTAAAAGTGTGTGTCACCATGCCCAGCTCAATGGGTACCTTTTTTTCACATTCTGAAGTGGATGGGTTGTATGAATTTATTCTGTATAAACTTCATATTCTACCTCATATGAAATTTTCATTTCTGCCACATGAATTTCTTATGTATGGATTCCTGATATACAAGAATACCTTAACCAGTTGTTTTTTTCTTCCCGTTTTAATATAAATTTAGTTCTCGTGAACTATATTCTTGCCATTAAAAATATGTGCTTATGAGTTGAAAAATATTTCTTTTTTAAATGGACACATTTTATGTTTTCTTTAGGCTGGGATGATAAAAAGTGATAGTGAAGAGTACTTCATTGAACCCTTGGAGCGAGGTAAACAGATGGAGGAAGAAAAAGGAAGGATTCACGTCATCTACAAGCGATCAGTAGTGGATCAGGCTGTCAGAGACATGCCCAAGGACTTTTACTACCGAGGTAGGCATCTTAACAAGACTTAATAATTAAATATAAGCTTACAATATGATGAAAACTGCCTGTGTATCACTCAAGAGAATGTGCTCTTATAAAATGTGGAGGTAGAAAAGTGCATATTATAAACATGAATTTTGTTTTTTCTTTTTATGTTATGTTCTTATGCCAGTGAGTTAATATATCTCAGCACCTTTTTCATGATTTCTTTTAAAATTTTTACATTAAGGAGCTGGAACGATGGCTTAGCAGTTAAGAATACTGTCCGTTCTTGCAGAAGACCCAGGTTCTAATCCCAGCAACCACACAGCATCTAACAACTGTCCATAACTCCAGTTCCAGGGGATCGATGCCCTCTTCCATCCTCTGTGGGCATTGCATGACATGGGTGCCCTTACATACATGCAGGCAATACACTCATACACATAAAAGTAATAAATAAATATTTTTTAAAAGTTGTACATTAAAACAATGATCTTTTAGTGTATTTTAAAGTTTGATAATACATAATATATAAATTATGTATTTTTATTACTGTAAAAGTTCTTAAATGCAATGTGTTGAAACAACCAAGTTATGTATTAAGAACATAATGATAGATCCATTAGAAAATAACTATGCAACTTTGACTTCAGTTCTATTTTGCTAAACTTTTTCCTATCTAGAGGAGATGTAAGTTAAATTCTGCTGTATAATTTTATTTCTAAATAGGTTGGAACCAGAAAAGCCAAATTCATTATGTCACATAAAATTTTTTTTATTTCATTTGGCATAGTGAGTTCTGAACATAAGGTGATATTCATATGATATTCTTGTGTGTTAGATATAGAAGTTTCCCCTGTAGGAAAGAAAATTTGGAATCAATATTACTTTTTAAATCAAATCTCCAAAAGTTGTGTTACTTTTGGCAGGCTGACTTTCTACGCTAAGGAGATTTCCCTGAGGAAATGTGAAGGAAGGATGTAAGTCATCTGAATTCAGTGTCTGTCTTGTAGATGGCCTTTGGGGAGTTACTTTCTTGTTGCTAGTTTGGTTTTGAGATGTCACCAGCCTACCTTACAGGGTGGTATCAATGAAATAACACACATGAAAGCACATTTACAATTAGCAAATCCCAGAAGAAATCAATACAGCCTGGTTTTATATACCAGAACTATATTCATATGTACAGTGTTAGGAAATATGTGTCTAACTTAGACAGTCTGGTGCAAGAGAACTAGAATGAGCTTCAGTTAGACTCACTGTGAATAATGGCTCTGCAATATCAATGGTTCCAATGCTTTAGGAGAGTGAGTAATCTTGCTGAGCCCTGCACCTCTCTCTCTTGAGATGAGGCTTCCACATAGCCCCAGCTGGCCTGGAACTTGCTATGTACATCAGGCTGGCCTTCATCTCACAGAAATTTGCCTGCATCTGTCTCCTAAGTGCTGGGATCAAAGGCGTGCACCACCCACACCAGGTGAGCCTCATTTTCTTAATCTGTGACTAGAAAAGTGAAATACTTTGCATTATTGTCAAAAATATGAGAAACAATATATACAAAGCATTGAATATAGCCTTTAAAAGCAGCAGGTGCTTAATTAATGGTGGCTTTACTCTTTTACTAATTATACAATTACCTTGTATGCAAAATTTATATGTTAGGCAAGTTTTGCTTAAGGCAGACATTACCTGTCTTCAGGTTGGGAATATATTACTCTTTATTCTCAGTTATATTTTCATGTTTTAAAAGTCTAATTCTAAATTGGAAGACAGATTCAACTATGACAAAGGATAGAAACAGAGTTTTTTCTCAAAGTCTGACATGATTAAGATATCTAATATCTTTTCCCAAGGTAATAGTTCAGTACCTTTCAGAAAATCATACCCCATCTGCTATGGAAATACACAGGACAACTGAAAACCAGGTCAGTCCATGTGGCTTACCTCTTATTTCCTCTGTTTGTCTTAACTATAGATCCACTGAGCTGAACTTGATAACTCAGTTTCAGTCCTGAAGTTATCAGTTTCTATAAATGTTAGTCCCGGTGCTTTTCATTAATGCAGCATTTACAGAAAGGAAATTTTTTTGAATAACAAGCTTTAAATATCTGTAATATTTAAATAGAATAGAAAAGGGCTGATGATGTAGCTCAGAGGTAGTGCACTTGCTTAACATTCACAAGCCCATGAGTTTGATCCCTAGTACCACACACACACACACACACACGCACACACACACATACACACGCACACAGAAGCACATAAATAGAATAGGAAAAATAATTTAGTAGTGAGGGTACATAAATTTAGAAGACTTGCATTGTATTAATTTAAAGGGAAAATTAGGAATGCAAACATTGAAGACTGTCAGTCATGACTAAAGGACTGGGTTATAGGAAATGTAGACAGTGATTTAGAGTGATACATTTTGGAGAGGTTTTCAGTGGCAATGAATCAAGGAAAAGCAGTTTTTTTTTTCTTACACTCAGTTACCTTAAAACTTGCACCAAAAATCTCTCAGTTCTTAGTTTGTTTCAAGATAAATAAAAGTGAAATTAATTGTTGCTGTTTTCCTATTTATAGAGTCCTGATTGAACTGAGTTATTAGTGATATCAATTTACTTTTTTGAGAATCTTTAAGAATATTTTATTATTTTTAATTTATGTGTATGAGTGTATTGCATGCATGTATGTGAATGCACCTGTGCTGTGCAATGCTGCAGAGGTCAGAAAAGGCTAATTCCCCTGGAACTGGAGTTAAGGATAGTTTGTAGCTGCCATGTGAGTACTGGCAATCAAACACTGTTCCTCTGCAAGAGCAGCCAGTGCTCTTAACTGCTGAGCCATATCTTCTGCCACAAGACTGCAGCTTTTTAGTTCTCTTCTTGTCAAAGGACTAGGGATCAGTGTTTTCATAGGCAAAACGTAATGTAAGTACAAATTAGAAATATATGTTTATAACATATTTCATCATTTAAAATATACTAAGTTAGAAAGGTAGATTGATTTATCAATGAACGCTGAAATACTGTATAACGTAGTGCTTTTCTGGATCAATTCAGGATATTGTTATAGTAAGAAATAAAATATGTAACTAAGGTAACCTAGAAAAATAGATTTGAGGACTATGTCATAATTTTGTCTGACTACAAGTCATTGAGGGAGGAGAACTGGTCATAAGCAAACCATTTCTGACCCAACAAAGCTTCGCTGGAAGGGTGCCATAAATACTCTGCTATATTTTGCTAGCTGACCCAGTAATTTCTGGCTACATTTTGAAGGCTTTGGCAGTTTGGCTGCTCAGAAGTGCCATTCATTTAGGTTTAGTTATAGTTTGAAACTGTTCACAAGTAAAACTGATTAGGACCTGAACTAAAGGAATAGTAATGAGATGGAGCTCTGGAACCAAAGTAAAATTGGTAAGTTCTGTGATAAAGTAGATCTTGGGAGTAGGGTAGGGAAAGGAAGAAAGAATCAGACATACCTTAGGATTCTAATTTGAGAGACTAGTGAAGTCTTCAGAATTAGAGTATATAAATTGTGCAACAGCAAGAGGCAGGTTGATGGTGTTACATGGGGAAGATTTGGGATCTAAGTTTGAAGATTCATTGGAAATAATATTGTGAGTGACTGTCTGCTTGAGAATCCTGGACCTGTGTCGTAGTTGTGTACTGTCCTTTTCCTAAGCACTGTCACCCCTTACTGGCCTTGCTTGAAGATATATTAAAACAGTTTCTAAGAGACTCCAACTCCACTCCAAATATGCAATATGTATTCTTATAATCGTGCCCTGGGGCAGTGTGTAAATGGACTTATTGTAGATGGAGGTGACTGGGGAGTCAGGTGGCCTGGAATTCTTAGAATGTCTGTGCTTACTTTCTGCCCTCATTCCCAGCTATATTGCGGAGAATCTGAAGATACGCATTGTATAGGATTAAGAACCCTATAAGACACTTTCTATCTATAACTTTAGATAAGGAGGACACTGTGTCCTTAAACCAAAACAAAAACAATTTTTTTTTTTAAAACCAGGAACTGATATAAAACTTGCTCCTATCCCACTCAAAGCCCTTAAGCTTTTCTACTTGATCAGGTACAAACACAATTTTCCATTTCCTCTTTCTCAAGAACATTCATCTGAGTCATCAGAACTATGTGTATGTGGTATAACTCAACAAAGTCCTCAACCAACTCAATCATACCACAGATCTGTTTTACCTTGATTCTAAATAGGGAACTTGTATTGTTTTTGAAATATCGAAAAATTTGAAGAGTCATTTAGAAATATGTTGAATTAAGCCTGAAACCACAGCTACAGATTTTAAAACTACTGCTTATGAATGAGACCACCAAGACTGGCTCAGTGAGTAAAATGCTTGCTGCATAAGCATGAAGGCCTGAGTACAGATCCCCAGCACATGAGCAAAATCCAAACATGGCGCATCTCTAACCCAAGCCCTGGGACTATGGAGGGTGAAAACAGGTGGATCCTGGAAATTTGCTGGCCGGGCATTCCAGCTGAAATGGCCAGCTGCAGGTTCAGTGAGGGACCCTGTGTTAAAAATTTACAGTGGAGAACAATAGAGAAAGATACCAGAGTCAGTTTCCGACCTCTACAGTTACATGCACGGGCAAGCACCCCCCCACATGTGTACAAACATGCAAAAAACACACAATTAGTTTTCAGACCTCCAGCAGTTTAATATTGTCACTCTGAGTCATGATCAGTGCAGAGTTGGTGAGTTTGGGTAAAGCATAGTTCTTCATGTGTCTGTCAAGGGAGTGACAGTTTTTTAATTAAACAGCAGGCACAAAATTGGCACATCTATGATATAGAAACGTACCCATCATGATTGGATTGTTTTTGTCATCAGTGGTCTACTTAGAATTGTTTTCTATCTAACTCTGCTTTTGAAATTGCAATCGGTAATGATATGAACTCAGAATTTACCTATACAATCCATCGATTGTCTAAACTCAGATAAAAATATACCCTGGCAAGCTCTTAAGAATGCTTAGCTTTTAGCATGAAAGATTGCTTTAGGCAAGCTAGTTGGACTTGCATGATATCATTCATCTTCTCATATTTTTTTTACTGAGTCTCTAGACCCTTAGGCTTCTCCCCTCACATTATAAGCTATTCATTCACCAGTAGCTTTGTGTTAAAGTAATTTTTGTAATTACTTCCTACCAGTGGGAAACAAGGACTAGTAAGCCTTTATCTCCTGGCTTCTTTTCAGGGTTTACATTTTCCTACAGGAGCCCAAGTGCTTGTGTCGCTGGTGTGGTTGTCATGGTGCCATGAAGGAGTGTCTTTGTCACAGGTGGGAAACATGAAATAGAAATGATTTAGGAGCTGCTCCTGGTTACTGGGGAATGAACTATGAAACAAGAGCCAGAATAATGGGAAGACTTTGTTTTAACAGTGCTAGGTAGAGAGCCTTCCTTAAATGTTGATGTGAGTAGGTACTCTGACCCTTTATACTGGAAGGTTCTTATGACCTGTACATCAATCAGAGAATCCTTGGTGGGCTTTGTAAAAAGAAAACTATCAAAATTAGAAATAAATTTTAGCAGATGTTTTATTAGTAGGTGGTGTGTGGACATAGCATTACTATAATATTAAGGTATATCATTGAACAAACATCCTTTTAAGTAGTTGTTAGATTATACATTCTTCACAGCTACTGGTGTATAATCTAATCTAAGGGTTAGTCATTTGCCCAGGCTACTTCTATTGGATTCATATGGAAATACTAATCCTATATGTGGGATTTCTTTTCAGACTTGTTTAGTCTTTTTCAGTCCGTGTATTTATAATAACCATTGAGAAAATGAAGACAATATGAAGATTGAATTATTCCATGAAAATAATCTGAAAGCAGACTCAATAGTAGTTAAGGGATTTTTAACATGTGAAATATAAAGGCTAATACTTATTTACTTGAATTTAGATAACTAGACCTATTCTATCTCTGTATGACTAAATTGGGTTCAGTTAATGGAGCTTGTGTATGACATGTAAATGTGTTACAAATGTGACTTCATTTGTTTCTCAACAAAGAAGAAATAAATCAGCTGTATTGAGACTCTGAGGCTCTGGATTTTCATTAACTTGGCATTGAAGAAGAAAGAAAGTTGGAGGGCTTAAGTACATCTGAAGCACTGAAGAGAAATTGAAGACAATGAATGCATATTAGGGTGGCAAATTAGATAACTTGAACCAACTCTTGATTTGTAAACAAAATGATTGCCTTGTCAGAAGCAACCATATCAATTATTGACAGTACATACAAGAGAAAAGTTTTGCATTATTTAAAATTTATCAGCTTTTTTGGAATATAGAGAATATCCCAATATAAAGATATGTGTATGATTTCATTCATGAAATCTATTTTTTCCTTAGGTAGACATAGTTTTATTAACTATTAAAGAAAATTTTACCCTGTGTGTCAAGTATGCCTATGTGGATATATTTTTAAGACCCTATGACTTATTTCTAAGTAAAATGATTCAAAAATTTCCTATTAGGAATTGTCAAACCATTTGTGTAAGGAATTCAAACTGTTCTGGGATTTAATCATTTTTTTTGTTTTATTTCTATTTCTAACCTCTGTGATTGCTACTTTTGGAGAAGATAGCCTGCCATATTTTGTATGTTGGTTTTGGGCCATTGTGTTACTTTCCTTGCTTGCTCATTATGCATAGATTTGAAATAGATTTATTTAGGAGAATCACGGCTATTTAGTGTTCATTCAGTATTTTCAAATCCAAACCAATCAAAACTTTTTGTTTTGTTTGTGGGCCCCTTACATTTATGTGAAGAGAGGATTCAAATGGTTTATTCCCAATCTCACGTGTCTTTCATGGAAGCT